TAAAAGGGAACGGGGATACAATTTGAGGGGGGAATTAAATTTAAAACATCCTCGTATCCGTACAACATTAAAAAGTTTTTGCATCTCTGTGTGTGGAGTGAAGCTGTGGAACAGACTAAGTAAAGATATGAAGCAATGTCCAAGCATGGCGCAGTTTAAAAAGCGGTTTAAGGATATGGTTTTTACAGGGTACAGGGAAAAGGTAGAGATTTGATAGGGTGTTCTTGTCTAATATTTTCATGTGTGTGCGCATGCACGGGTTTGTTGGTATGGATATATATATATATATATATATATCTATATATATGTATAAATAATTGTAGGTTGTGTATCCTTGAGATGTTAATGGGGTTATTGAAAATGTGTACATGTGCGTATGTGTGTATATACGTATGTATGGATAGATAGAAACATATATGTGTATATATTAAAAAAAAATTACACATAACATATAATGTAATTGCAAGGAGGTATTTCTGTAGTCTATTGATACTAGATAGTGGAAAAGGGGTGGGATTAAAAAAGCTTATGCTTCTTCCTGCTCCTTTTTGAACATGGACGTTATTTGGAGTTGTGGTTGCTCGTTTTCCTTTTGTTTGCTTTGTTCATTTGTCTCTTTTAATTCTATTTTTTTAATACTTTTTCAACATGTTCAAAATAAAGATTCAATCAATCAATCAATCAATCAATATACATGGTGTGTGTCGGTGTGTGAAGAGGAAGATCGTGTCAGGGTCCGATCAGGCCGGTCACATGCTCGGCCGGTACAATATATGTATTCGAGCACACTCTGGTGTGTGCGTGCTTTCCACCCTCATAGAAAACAGAGGCCTCATTCAGTGGGGACAAAGGCATACACACAGTGCTCATGTATGCTAAACACATACATGCTGCAGATTGAGACAATGGAATGACAATGCACATATGTTGAACACTAAGTGATACAGTGGTACTGTCGCTGGGTGCTCCCTCTGCACTTTCTCTCTGGCCCTGGGAGTTTCCACACAAAGCAGTGCAACAGTTAAAGACCTTCTGACCTACAAACAGGCCCAGCCAGCTGAGTGAGTAACAGGGTGTGCATAGGCAGCAATATTTCCTGCAGCCAGCTGTTTACATGTGGTCATCAGGTTACACTTCGTGAGCGCCAATCATAACCTGTTTTACTGCTGTTTTTTTTTTTTAATTACTACTGTATTTCAGGAAAAGATAGGCCAAGAAACACAAACATGGTGGCAGCTTGGCCTAGTTCTGCTGGATTACTGAAAAATAAGAATCATAAATAGTTGCTTTATTATACTTTTAAAAAGAAGAATGTTGCTTTTTATACTAAGTGGATTTCCTTGAACTTTAATCAGTTGATTACACTAAATAAATGTGGACATTGACTTTTATGGAAGGCCAAAAGGAAAGGCAAATTTAGACCATTATTGCAAAGCTGCATGTGGGACAGTAATCACTTTAGAGCAGTTGTCTGGTTTCAATAATTGATGGTAGTTAAAATTGTCATTGTAAATAAAATATGATTAATTGCCCCCAAAGTAATCAAAAACAGCGTATTGTGTGTCAGACTCACTGCCTCAGCTTCCTCATCCTTCTAGTTAGAAGTGTTTTATCTCGCTACTGTGTGCGTTTGTCTGATTACAGGAGTGGTTTCAGGGAGTCGGACTGCTGCAACTCCACCGCACTGCTAGCTTTCAGTTTCAGCGACTGTTTTGTTCCAGCACTTGTTTTTGCTACTTGAACAATTTTCTAACTTTGTCTGCTCTCCTCTGCTCCTGTTTTTGGCATGCCTGGCCCCCGCCTCTGAACCACTCCTGCTCCAACTGTGTTCTCCATAGTCGCCACCTCACTTAACTACTCCGCTCTGGATTAATTATCCTCCCTGCTCCGACAATTACACCTAGCTTGGCCATTCACCTCAACTGAGTTAAGATTGCGTCAACCACAGATCAGTAATCTCTATCCGCCAACCACTGGTTCCCTCCCTCTCAGTTAGTGCTTACTTCCACACATTTATAAATAAATCCTCATAACAAATGTGAAGTCGTGTTTTCTAGTTCGGTCCCCATGTTAAGTGCATGTTCTCATGTAATTTTAAGCCTACAATAAAACAATTGTTGTTCTATTTATGCACACTTCTGCAGTGGCAGCCTTTCAGCTGTGGTGTCCCATCACAATTAAATAAATGTTGGCAATGAAGCAAGCGCTTAAAACATGTGTTCCAGCATCCATGCTTGGCCGAGAGTCTGCACAATGGTGCATTTGTGCATCTGAATGCACACATGCGCCGTGTTGGTAATCTTTACCAGCTGTGCATGGCAATACCGCTGACCTCTGACCATTAACGCTGGCTGCTGACTGGCAGGCAGGGGACCTGGAGGTTTCAAGGAGCTGGGACCTCTTAGCGTGATTGCACTCATTAAGCAAAAACTCTGCAATGAATGATTGGCAAAAGGCTTCATTTGCCCTAAGTTACTTCATGACAGCAAAGAGTGGTGCAAGGACTAGGAGGAAGATTTAAGTCATGGTCTTTTCATCAGTGGAAATCTTTATTTCTCCAGCCTATTGACTTATTTCTCATGATTAAATTGGAGCTGAGGATTATAGATTGCGCCCGTTCTTTCATTCATTAACTCCACCTGAAATGTCAGGCAGCACTGATCTTAACGGTTGAGACTGAAGATCTAAAAAAAGAGCGACAGCCTGAATTTGTTTTTCTCTTTTGGTTTGATTCGGTGCAAAAGAACGGATTCATTATCAAATTAAAAAACAGGACAGTCTAACCTCTTTAACATCTACACGCACATTTCCACACACATAAACACACACTCGCGCAGTGTGAGCGTAATCCTCTCAACAGGAGTGGGAATTTCACAGTGGTCGTGGGAGCGGGAGGCCAGGATGACGCATGGGCCGAGGCTGCGTCCCATCAACGGAAAGCCAACACACATATGCTCAAGTCCGCACACAATACATTGGTCCTGATTAAGGGAATTTCCACCATGTGCACGGCAGACAGGAAAGAACAAGATCACTGAGGTAAAAATAATAATTACACAGTCCAAAGTGATAAAACGAACACTTCAAAACAAGCCCGCCTTTTAAATGTGTGTGCATGTGTGTGTAGGCTAACTGCCACATGTCGACTGTGGTCTCCATTATTAGCAGACTCTAGGTTTTCTCCACATGAAGGACGCGAGGTGGCCTGTTTTCCAACAGTTTACTCCATATGGGGACTGTTACCATGCACACATGCCTGTTTTATAACTTCATCAGTCTTCAGTGCCACTAATCCTGTTGCCACATTACTATTAATGTGTCTTGAGAGGCTTCATTTCGGGCACTGAAGGAGCTCCGGTGTCAAATCAGGTGACAACGCAAAGGTGCATGTTTGTTTGTGTGCGTGTTGTTTTGTTGACTGTCCTTATCGCTATAAGCCAGCTCACTTTAGAGGGAGACGACCTGGCTGCTGGAAGCTGGATGAGGACACAGGAGTGAACTTTCCCAAACAGGAGTGAACTCCTGTGTGGGGACCTTGTTGATAATCAGGCTCTAAGTCTGGTCCATCAGAGGGCACTAAGACCCACTATATATAAGCACTTAGTCCCCAGAGGATACCATCTGTAGAAGTTATCTTAATCTCAGCAGTGTAAATGAGCGTGCATAAGCCTTCCCAGCCCTAAATTAAGCAATTCAAAGCATTTCCCTCCTTTAATGGCCTATGTGGCTTTCTTTAAAGTGCTTAGCTTAATCTTGGCTCTGTTTGGCAGTACACAACAAGACACAGTGAATGAGATACAGTGCTTACAGCGAGCAGCTGAGAAGAGCCCCTTGGGGTATGTGATCCCTGTAATATTCAGCTCTGAATATGCTGAAAGTTGTTGTTAACATGTAACTTCTATTGGTTTTTCATCTATCCATCAATACTGTAAACTAAAGTCTATTTATAAAAGCCAAATAAACACAATGAAAAGCAGCTGCTCTGTGGCTCAGATTTGATTTGTTTTATAGGGTTATTTGGTCTTAATGCCATTTCCTTTACCGACAAGCCCAACTTGATTAACCTAAGACGTAGGAAACACAATTCAAAAATAATAAGTAAGTTTATTCATAATAAACTCAACCAATCATTCGACGGGCAATTTCAAATACACCCCAAATCTTCACAAAAAGCCACACTGGAAGTAATCCACAGGTACAAATCAGATGATAAAGTCAGTACTTGACATTAAAGGATCACTGGTGTTAACTGAAATTAATAATCAACAACCACAGGAAACTCCTTCATAGTTAAATTTGCTCAGGTCAGTGGCATTTAAAGCCAATGAGGTCACCAAATACACCCTCAAAAAAACAAAGTCTGCACATGCCAAATTTCCCCTGAGGATTCTAATGTGTCCGCTGTGAGGTCATTACATCACACTAAATAAAAACCAAAACCATTTTAGTTTACTAAAATAAAAATATAAACCAGACTTTAAGAAAAATGCTGTTCAAGCTGTGGCCAGAAATTCTCCTTCTTTGCTTGGAGCAACCTGGACAAGTTCATGTCTCTCCTTTTTTAGTTTTTTCTTTTCTTTCAATATATTAAAATTACTAAAAGCAAAACATTAAATTGAGAAAATTATAAACTGACAAGAATGAAAAGTTAACCCTACAAGCAGGCTGGCTGTGTCCCGAATGAATGATAGGCTGGAGCAAAGTTGTTAAACCCAGTGCTGCTGAGGGGTTACTGTAGCGCTCTCCACTGCACACTGTGTTTGTCAAAGCTGGAACAGCTGTTTGGCACGGGCCTAGATGTAGCCCTCAGTGCTTTAAGCCTCAGACACACCACTGCAGATGCAAGAAGGAAAAGATTCTGCCTTTCTAAAATTAGTTAATATATGTCAATGAATACTAAAGATAATTTGTACGGTTCTTGTTTTGACAGTCCTTTTGTTTTAGCAACTTTATGTGAAAATAACTGTTTACGGTAACAGTATATTTCTCAGTCATCATACCTCAGAGCCCTGCTCAGTTTATCGTAGTTCATTTGGGGTTTGCACTTCCTGGCCCCCCAGAGTCGAGCCACTTCATCTGGATCCTTGATGACAAACTCGCCATAGTCCCCCTGCCAGGCGATGACATCATGATACTCCTCTTTCCTGAGCAGCTCCAGGATGAAGTGCCACAGCTGGATCTGTCTGGAACCAGGGCTTGACTCGGGCTTGTAAGCCCATTCTGGGAAGGCGAACCCTGTAATACAGAGATAAAGAGAGTGGGGATATTAGTGTTGGGTGGAGGGGGGTCATTCGAGCCTTGCCAAGAACAGTGAATGGTGATGTAGAGAGCGCGGGTCGTATTCATAAATTCTAGTAAAAAGACATCTTTTTGGATGAACTGAAGTGCACCCGGATGACTCGCCTTTTGTCTCTGTAGGGAAATACACGCTATAGAAAACTAGTTTAAAGGAAGGCAAAAGAAAAGACTAAGATATGATTACAGTTATGAGTCAGGAGCAGTTTCAGGTGACTGCGCTAACAGGGAAAAGAAGATTACAGGTGTCTGGCCAAGTATAGATCACATACAACAGTGCAGCTTAGTACAGAGTGCACTGCTCTCATTCATACTGTCGTCACTACTCTCCAAGTCCTCCCTGTATTTCCAGCAAGAAAAAAATAAGATAAACTGCAGGGCTTTTTTCTAAAAATACTTTCTCTTTTATTGGGCAGTTAGACCCTGTGAGAAGTAAAAATTAGACCTGTGAAAAATACGTAAGTGGACAGAAAAGTCAGAAACACCAGCAAGAGAAGAAAAGAGTAAAACAGACGAGATGAAGCACAAACACACATTTTTATATTTGCGACTTATTCTAATAATCAACACCTCACACCAACCTAATGGAAATTTCTGAAATCTCAAAGATGTTTTCTAACCACACCGGAAGAAATTTTAACAAAGGTCTAAGATGTTTCTATAAGATTCGTTTACACCAGTTACATTTTATTCACTTTAACTGTTTAGATGACTGTACTGATGACACAAAGCGCACCTAATTTTGATAACAGTAGAGGTATTAACACAGGTCATGGATCTATATCTCCAGAACCTCACAAGACACCATTTTTAGTGGCTACCTGTGACTATGACAAGTTTGCATAAGTGAGTCACAACTTCATTTGCACCAGGTGAAGATAAACTGCTAGTTTGTGGCTAGTTATCAAATCCAATTGTTGAGGAAAATAGAGAATTTATCAGTACGGCTTCAGGCTAGGTTTTAATGCTGCTGGCTTACAGGTTTGTTTGATCTGCATCTAGACTCAAAATAAAGCTTTATTTTTTGTTATCAAAGTAGGCTAAGTTTAGCCGAATTAATAGCTTAATATTGCCTAAATGTGCAAACAGAAGTTTTCCCTTTAAACTTTTTCACTTTAAGTGAAACCCATTGGCTATTAGTAATCTTGATAGTCTAATGTACGTTCATCATTGTGTCACAGTCATTATAAGGCTCACATATGTTTTGCAGCCAACCCCTGAACTAATGCATGCGCGATGAAAATAAAAAGCAAGGATGTGAGAAGAGAAGCAACCTAAACCTCTTCAGCACTCTGATCCATATTTTCTTGCTACATGACTGACTACCTGACTGGCTCTTATTAGTAATCGGTGCATGCATGCCTCGACCTGCTCAACCCCAGCATGCCCCCTGTAACTTTAATTGTCTTAATCTGTACCGTCTGAAGCTTTGGCATAAAACACATTCCTCTGCTGTGATTAGGTCACAATTTCACCAGAGTGGCTCTTTACAGGAAACACACACGCACACTGAAACTACAACACTGAAAGCTGCAGCGTTAGTGGGCTTCATGGAACAGTTAGGCACACGAAAAACCTTTCCACCTCTCCTCCACCTCTTTCCTCTCATGCTGTCACTCTTTCCTCTGACTGTAGCAAAACAACATGGCCAGTCATCTCCCCTGCCTATCCCTCCATCTCTCTTTCTCTCTCTCCACCCTCGGCACGAAGGAAATGCAGAGCAAGAGACAGGCAGAATGAGACTGTGGGCGTGGGTATATGACTGTTTGCATGAGCATGTGTGCGCCCAAATGTACGAGTTTGAAAGAGTTTTTGTGCCAGTGCGCGTGTGTGTGTTTTTGAAAATGTTTGTGCAAGTCTCCCACTAACATTCTGTCGCCTGGGTGGTCAAGAGAATGTGACACGACTGAGCAAAACAGACTATAGCACTGTAATATTTAGCCACACGTATCCTGGACTGAACTTTTATTTTATCAACAATTATCATCGGAGCTCTGACAGACGCTCCGGTGAGGAGGTTGTCTCGCTGAAGAAATAGCATCCACCCTGCTAAAGTGTCATTATGCGGGACATTTAATGCCTTTCGATCCTGCCGATATAGTCTGTGTGATTTTTTTTGTGTGTTCTGCAAACGGCACAAGTGTCAGATTACTCCGAAAAAAATAGCCGAGCAAAAGGACCTGCATGTAACATCATGCAATGCCATGAAAAGGCTGCTGTGTGTTTACTGTGTGACACAGTGGATTAAATTAAGAAGCGTTTCTCATAATTTATCTGATGGAAGAATGCTGTAACTACCATAGATATTGCCCTAATAAAACTATTAACCCTAGAGTTAAATCAATACCTTTCTGGCATTAATGAGGGTTTATTACATGGATATTATTTTACAAGGGACACGGGGGTCAGTGGTGCCAGCAGCCATAATCATCCTGCATGCACTGTGCATTTATTTAAATGCAATCTTAACAACACAAGCTCCTGTATATGGATCTTAATACCCGATTAACGTGTTTGAGAATCATGTTTGGCTTCATCCTCCTTTGGCAAGCTGATAAACAGCTGAGAAATGAGCAAATGAAAAAAACGTATTTCATTTTTTTAGCACTTTGAAAAAAGACTTACTCCATGGTGTAGTAATTCGAGACTGGGAGGAGGCACAAACGCAGCCTCAAAACTAAAACCAGTTAGTTTCAGGGGGTCACCAGCTAGTGTACTCCTAGTGTTGGTCACCAGGCATAGATGAATGGGTGGGCTTTGTCAGGAAGTACATCTGGTATTAAAATGTGTGCCAAATCAAAACATGTGCATCCATCCACTATGGTGATCCACTGCAAATAAGGGAGCAGCTGAAAGTTTCTTGCCTTTTGAAAGTAGACAGCAAATTATCCAAAGCATTGAAGACTCTGCTGAGAATCCATAAAAAGTAGTGGTGAAATCATTACGATGAGTGCTGAGAACCACAGAAGCTGCTGTTAGTGACCTCTGCCCATATCTACTATTAGTGCTGAGCCTCCCTCAGCAGTTTATGATGCTTGAATACATAGATCAGGAGTGTGATGACTGACAAAGCACTGAGAGGACTAATGAAAATCAGGAGCTGCATGATACTGAAGATAAAAATGAACTTCTCTGGTTAACATCTCATGCTTGATTCTCTCTTACAGCTGAATATAGTTGATAGAGCTGTCTTTATGTCTGTTGCTGGAGTTTAATTTCTCATTTTTCTGGGCTATAGCTAGTATAGCTGAAACTATAGTATTAAACTGTTTAGCTGGCTGTTGGCCTGTTGTATTTGATATTTGCTTTGTATCTATAAAGTTGGGGGGGGGGGGGGGGGGGGGGGGGGGGGGGGGGGGGGGGGAGCATGAATCAATATCTCCCAGTCTTGTTTTCTACAAATTAGATTTTATATAGCAGAAGCCTTCTCTCATTCAAAGCACATCTGCCAGACATCTATAAATCTGTCCGTAAGCGTTGCTATTAGGGCTGCACGATTAATCGTTAGAAAATCGCGATCTCGATTCATACTTATGTGCGATCTCATTTCCAAATGACAACGATTAAAAAAAAAAAAAAAAAAAGACGACAATTGTACCGCATTTTGATCCGGGACGTGCTCTGCATGAAAACAAGCGCTCACTCTTCCTGCTCAACAAATGACAAGGGCGGAGCCTTATACCACGTGACACAGAAGCTGTGCCGTGTGATGCTAAAATTAGCAGGGAAAAAACAACGGAGAGCACGTCAGGGATGACGAGAAAGTGACAGGAGAAAATCCGTCCCGGTCAACCACCCAAACATCAATAACGGGAACCTTATACAGCGCTTCCCTATACCCGTCGAACTCCCGCAGGCACAAAGAAATTACAGAGGCTATCACTTAACACCTGACCAAAGATATGACTCCCATCAACACTGTGCAAAATGAGGGATTTAGGAAAATGATCAACACCCTAGACAAACGCTACACAGTGCTGTCCCGCAACTATTTTTCTATTGTTGCACTACCTGCTCTATACACGCAGTGTCGAGCAACGGTGGAGACGGAATTTCAAGCAGTACGACATTTTGCGGCAACAACAAAATGTGAGACATTTGTTGTTTTATGTTCAGTCTCAACTGTTACGAAGTTGATGTGCAGTTAATAAGTGCAATAAATATTTATATTGGAAAAGAAAATCGTGAAAGAATCGTGATCTCATTTTATGCAAAATCGTGCAGCCCTAGTTGCTATTGAAGCGTTTCATCACCTTGAGTAACTTAACTAGTGCATTTAGGCTTCCTTTGTTTTTTTAGACTAAAAAATAAAACCAGAAAAGGAAAGAGCTCTTCCTATGTGTCTTCTTACTCATCTAATGTAGGCTTGTTTCTCACCACCTTTTCTTGGTGGTTTTCCTCCACAGTGTATTTGCGAGACACGGTCAGTGAATCATTCAGTCATCCCACCTACTCAGGAGTCATTTTGTGATTGAAAAGAAAGATTTTTGAATATCACTCAAAGTATGTAGAAGATGCCTACACATTTTCCTTCTACAAACTCCAGACAGGATCTTATCAGCGCTGACTCTTATGTAGATAGTGGGTGGCCAACGAACGGCAGCTGTGCAGGCAGCCAGTTTGTTTAAACTAAAGATTATTGTTTAGTTGTGTGAAATGACCATGGGTGTAAAAAAAAAAAAAAAAAAAAGCAAAAAGCTGCAAACTGTGTCATCCGTGGCTGTATATTCTCAGACTTTCCAGGTTTGCATATGTAGGTAGCAGTTAATACGCAAATGGCACCACACTCACTCACTGTCATTTTATTTCCTTTTTCACTTCCCACCCCCCTCTTCCTCCTCCTCCTCTTTCTCTTTCGAATATTCAAGTAAACACGTTTGGCATGATCAAACCCTACAGTCACAGGGGAAGAGACCTGCGGCTATCATAAACATACTGGC